TTTTTTTTAAACCAAACCCCAGCCTCCCCAGGAAAGCAAAGTAGCACAAAGATCCCAGCACACCCTCCCTCGCTAGCACTACCATGGCATTTTTCCATGAAATTCGATAACACAGCTGCTGGAAAGACTAAAAWCCCATAAACATCAAAACCCATGTGCAGCTCTCTATTGCTTTGTGCTGGGACAGGGAGAGCTCAAAGGCCACACCCAGAGCCCCATGGGCTGCATGCAGAGCAGCTCACAGTGAAAATGCCTCCTTTTTCAATTAATAAAATTATCATAATACAGGAAAAATTCAGATAGCAGTTGGGTCTGTGACCAAACCCAATTCCAGCTGACTGCAGATTTTGTAGCAGAGGGAAGGTGTTTGGTCACCAATGCCCTGTGACAGGGAAAGGAAACACCCAGAAACTGCCCAAAATAAAGTCCCTGAGTGAACTGCCACTTCCTCAAGGGCTGAGTTAACCCATCTGAGCCTCAGGCTGGGTTAGTGCTCATAGAACACGGGGGCTGCACAATTAACTTGTCCTGGCCAGGAAAAAGGGAAGGGAGTGTCCCACTCCGGCGTTTTTCCTRTTGTAGTGTGAGGAGTGACAGGGCAGCAGTTGGCTCCCTGCCATTCCCAGTTAAACCAGCATCCAGCTGCACTGGATTTGCTTCTTACTGGGTCAGCGCTTCAAAACTCCATCTAAAACAACTCAGCAAGGAGATTTAACTGTTTGTGGCACATCTGCTGGTTCAGGCTGGGCTTTTCAACACCGAAATGCTCACACAGCACTGCACAACTCAGCATGTCGGGAAAAACTTCCAAAACTTCCACCCTTTCTACTGTGAGCCACAGAGCAGCTCTGCCGGGTGGAATTCCTGACAGGAAATTTGGAACACAAATGAATTCATGGCAGCACAGAATGAATTCATGGCAGCACAGAATGAATTCATGGCAGCACAGAATGAATTCATGGCAGCAGAGCTCCTTCCCTGCTTGGGGTGCGGGTTAAAGTCACTGCACACGGGGATATCAGACATCAGCAAAGGTGGGAGAGTGTGGGATGCTGGGGCAGTGCTCAAATGGCTTTCACAGAGCTAAGGAATCCTCAGAGAAATCACAGGAGAAAGGACAAGAATTCCCTGAGAGCTCCTCCCAGGCTGGCACTGTCCCACAGCAGGGAAGGAACTGAAATGATGCTGTGTGAGCACGAACAGCATAGAAACCAGGACAGCACTCACTGTGGGTTCTTAATGGGAGAAATCACCACCAATATGCCAAGAAAAATGAACACTCACACCAGAGCAAGGTGCCAGCTCAGGCTCCTGGAGCCTCCTGTTCTGCTCCACCTCCAGCATTTCCATTCCCAATACAAAATTGTGCTGAGACCCAGCTGAGACCCAGCTTTGAGCCTCAAAGCTTTCTTTAAGGCTTCCTTAAGCCTGCACAAGGACAGGTTTCGATATCTGCCCAAATTTGTGGTGGGATTTCACTCCCTTATCAAGGGTTTGCTTAAAATTATAATTGCAGATGTTATAAAAATGTGTCCAGAGAAAAGATCAGGGGAAAAAAAAAAGTCCAGTCTGACACCAAAAACTGCCATGAAGAATAGCAAAAAGCTGCTACATCTGCTGCTATCACTTCTTGTTATGGTCAATGTTTTACTCCATTGCCTGAGTGCAGGTAATGCTGAGGACGAGCATTTTGGGTTTTCCCTGTTCACTATTAGATCTCGGAGCTATTTTATGATCTGCTCTTTTCACTCTCCCCAAGGACTCGAGTMTCTACTTCATGACTTCTCCAGGCACGGCTTAATGAGAACACGYTCTGAACTTCCTCCTGTTATCGACAGCCACTTGAGCAAAACAAGGTTAAAAGCCATCCCAAATTTGCAGCCTGCCTGCAGAAGGAAASCACTGGAGCGAGGCAGCTCTGCACCAACAGCTTTTTGGCCCAAATCCCTCTGAAACTGTCCTGAGAGTGGCTGACATCCAGCTCGTCTCCTCAAAGTTTGGCAAGTTSATCTGCAAGCCAAAATTTATCAAGGTTGTCTCCAAAGCTCCTGCTTGTTGTTTACTCGAACTGAGATATATTCCAGCCTGTCCAGGCACTATTAAAAGATCAAAAGCTTTCATGGAGTTTTTAACCTCCCCCACAGGAGGATGAGGCTGTGCTGGGGGCTCAGTTTTGCATTCAGCCCTCAGCGCAGGACCACATTCCCCATCTTCCCTTTTTACCCTGGGTTTTCTTTATAAAACCTAAAGAGAGATATTTCATACTCTCAGAGCTGCCCCTTGACAGCCTGCATGGCATCCCACAGCCTGCCCGAGGCCTGGGGGAAACTGCCCTTTAACCACTGGGCTGCAGCTGCACTTTCACATTTGAATCTCCAATTCTTCATTAAAAATGTCWGGTTGCATTTTCAGCAGCTTGCAGCTATTTGTACAAACGGCTTGCAGCTCTCTGTTTCACATGAGGAGCAGAAGCTCTTCACTGCCCGCTCCTGACAGTGGAATACACAATGGTTTTACACCACAGCACAGTGAATGCTTTCCCTCCAGAAATGCTCTGCTGGCTCACATTTCCACATGCCAAAAACCACTTCCAGCCCTTCCCACAGAGCTGGTCCAGATGGAAACCAGGCATGGGAGGGAGGTGGAGCTGGGCTGGGGGCTTGGCTTTAGATCCAGCCCTCAAAGCAGGACCACAKTCCCCATCTCACCTTTTTACCCTGAGCACTCTTTGTAAAATATTTTTTATTTGGACCAGGTTATGTTTAAACTGTAAGGATAAAAGTTCCCATCTCCAGAGCTGGATGTGAGCRTGGTTCTGCTGGCAGTTCTGCCCTGGGTAGGCAGGACTGTGAGCTCAGAGCTCAGCTCTGGGCCAGGCTCACCCACCTGGMACAAGGAGCTGTCCCATTCCTGTTCCTGGGGACAGGGAGCTCCCCAAGGAGCTGGAACAGGGATGGGSTGCTGTTCTCCATCAAAGGCAGTGAGAGGGACCCTGTGGATGGGTGTTGGAGCCCACAGCTCCAGGGAAAGGCTCCCCACAGTGAAGGGAGGCTCTGTGAGCACCAGAGGAGCCCTGGGGAACACACACACACCCAGCTGCCCCCCAGCCCCACCAGCAGCCCAGACACTCCAAAAACTGGAGGAGCTGTTCTCACATCCAGCCTGGGGCTTTGGACTGCACAGGACCCTGCTGGACAGCAGGGATGGGATCTCTCCTCAGCCATGCTTTTATTGCACATGAGCTTTACCAAAAGASTGAGCTTTCTACTTGTAAAACCCATTAAGACTTCTCCCAGAAATGTAAACAAACCTATAAAACCCACAGGCATTCCATCCCCCTCTCCTACCTACTCTGCTTATTTACAGTTTTCCAAAACACAGCGAGCTCCGTACRTTTCTGCTCTCTGGAGCACACCATGATTTAGTGGTTTTTCACAGTAACTTTAYTCCAGAGCCCAAGTGAGCCAAGCACTCATCCTTACCAGTTTCTGGGCGAGTCCTGGGGGMGCCCACTCGTAGGTGATGGTGTCGAAGGTGGGGTCCTTGCCCGAGATGTTGGGGTTGGTGACGATCATGCGGTTCCGTTTGTAGATGCGGACGCCGTCCCCGCCCTTGAGGCGCGCGGTGAGCGAGGAGTATTTGGAGTCGGAGAGCAGGCGGCCGATCTTGCGGTCATCGTCCAGCTCCGAGCTCAGGCTGTGCTCCTCCTGGCTGCACTTGCACGATTTGCAGATTTTCCTGTGCCAAGAGGGACAATCCTTTGGGTGTGAGCAGGGTTGTGACACACACACGGGTCACACACATTCTGCTGCCACTTTGGGAACCCTTCAAACATCACTACACTGCACATCACCCTCCTCACCAACTCCAACAGCCTCACCTACTGTGAAGCTTTACATGCTATTTTACATGCTATTAAAAAGGTGACTGCTTTTTTACATGCTATGAAAAAGGTGACTGCTAGAAGAAATTGATGCTTAACTGAGTACAATTTGAACTATAACAGGTATAAATCACACAGACAAGTGTCTAAGGACACTCTCTGGTGGCTAGTGCTGCCATCAAACACTGCTAGCAAAATGGTAAAAAATCTGACACAACCCCAAGGATTTCAGCAGGATCTGGGAGTAAGAGTGAGTCCCACCAGCCTTTAATGGAGTCAATAGCACAACAGGGTAGTGCTTCCCCCAAATGAGTGTTTGAAAGTTTGGATTCACAGAGCTGAGTTCTCACAGGTGGGAGCTGAAGGCATTTGAGGCATTCCAGCTGCAGCAGCACAGCTGGATCACTGCCTCTGCACCACCAGCAGAGAGGAGCCCAGGTTTGGGAGGCAGCTCAGAGGGCACTAATTCTCTTTTAATTACTGACATTGGGATGTGTGTTCTCATTTTAACACCCTTGGTTGCCCCGTTGGGGCAGGAGCAGCCCCTGTCCCCACCCTGAGCTGAATGCTGTCCTGGTTTGCTCTCACCAGCTGCTGCTATCCAGAGCTATTTACTCAAATTTGTGTTTTTAAGAGGACAAACTGTAAATAAAGCATKAAATCATGGGATGTTCTGCCCCTAAGCAGATTTCAGTTCCTCACCTCCAGGAGTGTGGCTCGAAGCCCGTGCACATCCCTCGGCAGCGCAGACAGGGCACACCTCTCCCCGACATCTGCAAAAGAGCAGAACACCGTGTTGGAAAGGCTTTACCCTCAGAAGTTACTCAGGAGCACTCAGAGTGTGAATTGTCCTTCAGACAGTGATTTCTTCAGCCATTCCTGGTGTCCACGAAGTCCCAAATCCCCCAAACACCATCTGACCGTGCCCATGCAACCCTGCTGCAAGTTTATTTAGGGATGCTTGGGATTAAGGTTTGCACTTCAAAGTGAGGGAAGGTGGAACGACGTGGAGGCACATCAAACCCAGTGAACATGCCCAACCCTGGACAGACACCTCAGCCTCATCCACAGACACCTCAGGTGTCATTTGAAGGCGATTTTGACCCACTTTATACAGTTCACATATTGCACATGCATCTGTGCCAGTCAGGAGATCAGGCAGGAGACATGGGGGTGTGTTTGCTATAACCTGATGCTAAACTTGCTTCACTGCACCTTGGACTGCCTTGGGCTTTCTCCAAGTGTAATTTGGGATGTTTCCACACCTCTGGCACTGGGCTTTGTGGGTGTTTTCCATGGTGAACAGGAAAGGCTCTGGGGAACAGAGCTGGTGTGGAGGGACATGGGGCACTGTGGTTGTCCTGCACTTTTTGCTGCTCACTGAAAACAGACAAAAGTCACTCATCCSTGGGTGTTCACTGCTGCAGAGACATCCTAACAACCTTCTGACAGGAGACAAGCAAAAACCCCACCAGGAGCCACACTGAACACAAACCTATTTCAGTGCCTTCCCCGTGAATTTATCAAACGTGGCTTTTTGGATAAAAAGAACGCAGGAGAATACAGCAGGAGACAGAAACAAAATGCTGCAGGAGGCATCAGGGCAAGGTGACACCAGCAGACAGYGAATTTATCTCAGCCTGGATGTTTATACAGGAGCTGTCAGGCTCCTGCCTGAGAGACATGTTTGTTCCCTGTAAAAATGAGCTGAGGGAAAACAAGGACAGTCCCAGCCGGGCAGGAGCAAKGGCAGCACCACGGGAGTGTCACCCCAGTGGATCTGACCCCAGCAGAGATCAAAGAACACGGTTTAACCCCAGCACAGCAAAGCCCTGCAGCTCCAGCCCTCCAGAATTGCCAAATATCAGGACTGGGCAGAATTCTGACCCCTTTGGGCCTCAAAGTTTGCATTTCCCATTAGGGCTGGTGACACGCACAGATCTCACACCTGCCAGCCTTTTTGAGGCCGTTTGTCACATTTTGTAATCTTTAATCTCTCTGGAGATGAGCCATGGCGTGGGCCCAGCTGTCCTGTGCCAAGGGAGGCTGCATGGAAGGGACAGGAATGGGATGATCTTTAGGGTCCCTTCCAACCCAACCCRTTCTGGGATCACCTGGGGAACTCCTGCCAGCAGCAGGAGCCTCCTCCAGCAGGAGCTGGAGCTGCAGGAACACATCTGGGGGAAGCATTTGCCAACTGGGATGCTCCTCAAGGCTCCTCGTGGCTCCAGGATGGCTCAGAGCTCCCTGCCCTGGAGGTGCAGGGCTCCAGCGGCAGCAAAACACACTGAGGTGGCAGCAGGAAAACACACTGAGATGGCAGCAGGAAAACACACTGAGGTGGCAGCAGATCCCCTCTGCTGCTCGGGGACCCCATGGAGCTGCAGGGACATCCCTGTGGCAGCAGGAAAACACACTGAGATGGCAGCAGGAAAACACACTGAGATGGCAGCAGATCCCCTCTGGTGCTCAGTGACCCCATGGAGCTGCAGGGACATCCCTGTGGCAGCAGCAGAGCTCTCCAAGAGACCAGGAGAGCCTGGGCAAAGACTCCTGAGATGTTCCGTGTGGGGAGGGGTCCCTGCCATGCCCAGAGAGCTCAGACCCCTCTGGGTAACATCTCTGCTTGGGGGAGAGGGTCAGCATTGGCTCCTCTGGAGGCAGAGGGAGCTTTGAGCCACTGCCACCCCACCAAACACAGCAGCAAAACCCTGCMCTGCACATCCTGCCCAGACAGAGCCTCTCCTCGTGCTCTGCTCCAGCTCCTCACACAGCATTAAATGGGATTTCATTTAAAAAGTTATGCAAGACACTGCAAAAACCCCAAACCCAGTCACACAGTGTGAAACCAATGCTCCAACTATCCCAGCCCCACCTATGCCCAAACCCATCTGGGAACTGCAGCTGAACTTTGCCATCACCTCAAGATAAAGAGTTTGGAGATATTTGTAATGTTTTAACAAAAAAAGCCGAAAAACCAAAACCAGGCCTGTGTCAACAAACTGGTTCAAGAAAAGCAAATCCTACTCCCCAGGACTAGATAGACACTCCTTGCAAGATTTCTGTTTTGGCTTTCTGTGCCTCACAGCATTCCTGTGCTAGAAGAGAGAAAGCAAGTCGGGGCAGAGGAAATTCTTGGGTAGTGAAATGATAGGAAATGGAGGCCATTCTACCCACAAAAACATCTCTGAGCAGTCTCAGAACACACCAGTGATGCCATGGCTTGCTGTAACTSTGGCCAAAGGCAGGGCCATCATTCCCTGAGCAGCTGGGAAAGAGAGAGCCCGGAATGACCAGAGACAAGGGAAGAACCCAGACATGGCTGCACCTTGGTTTAGGGCTTGGGGACTCCTCTGGAAGGGAACACGGAGCTGTGAGAGCACTGCTGGGTGGGAGAGAGGAGAGGGCAGCTCTGTTTGCTGCTCACTGACACTGCTGAGGGGTCTYKGTTTTGTCACCTTCAGCACMCCTTGGCCAAAGGCTCTACTGAAAYCAGTCTGACAGTTGGGTTTGGGGCCAGAGACTGTCCTGAACTTGCAGAACTCGGGCCTGAAAGCACGTTCAGAGTTTCAGTGAGCTTGGCCAATGTGGGGGTTAACCAAGGCCATCAAAGAGCCATCACACACCCCAGCATGGCTGGGCAGGATGGGAGATGGGGCAGGACTGGCTCTGATCTGTGCTCGATGTCATTGTCACCATGTGGGGCAGGACTGGCTCTGATCTGTGCTCAGTGCCACTGTCACCATGTAGGACAGGTCCAGACTCAGCTCTGATCTGTGTTCAATGCCATTGTCACCATGTGGGACAGGTCCAGACTCAGCTCTGATCTGTGCTCGATG